TATATATATATATATATATATATATATAATTTTATTTTTTTCACTATCTTTCAATGTCAGTTTTACAAATTACATCCTTTTCAATTTGGCTTATAATGAGCAGGCTTTCCTCTGGATTTGACATTAGCAACAACACTGTATCGGTCAATATTTGTTTCAAGAGCAAGAGTTCATACTGGGCTTGAAATGAAGAGAAAATTACCGTAAAACACTATTTAAAAACAATGAGATTCGTGACACTTAATATGTTACACAGTAAATTTAGAAATAAAAAAATAATATATATTAAAAAACATTTTTCATACACCTTTTCAACACTTTTTTGAAAAAGTGATTTAAAAAAAAGGTTGAAAAATAATAATTGGGAATAAAAGAGATTCAAAAAAAGGAAAAATATAAAATATGTTAAAAATGGAAGAAAATGTGGGGGAAAAAAATTACATACAAAAGTGAAAAAAAAATAATTCTGATGAAACATCACATTACTTCTTTTTTTTAAAATCTAAAATGTTCTCTTAAATTTCATTTCTGGACTGCATTTACTTCAAATTTCTATTTTCACAACACATTTTTGTTTGCCAAAAAAATGGAAAAAATTATCTCCATAGAGCATACGCACATGCTCAAATCGAGAATACATGCAGTGACAGTGGAGAGAAAAAACTCCCTTTTAACAAGAAAAACCTCCAGCAGAACCAGGCTCAGTGTGAGCGGCCTTCTGCTGAGGCTGACTGGGGTTCAAGGAGACAAGAAGACATATAAGATAAACATAGAAGCACTGATTAATCCTTTACATGATAGAAAAGCTAATGATAAAACAGCTCCACAGATATCTCTGTGTAGGACAGAAAACGATAAGCAGACGAGCTCTGAGCCTGTTTTCATGTCAAAAGTCTGAGATAGAGCACATACAGTTAGTCACAGTAAAACCTCAGCTATGTCTAGGATTTTCGCTTTCCATTATTGTTTGCCTGAAACAATGGAAAAAATCTCCATACATATAGAGTGAACATAAGCTCCTTTGTCCTCTTTTTTTTTTCCAGAAAATAAATACATTATTCATTAAAGTATATGGTTTATTATAACAAAAGATAAAATATTAATACTGCTGCAAGGCACTGAAAATCATTTCAGTATAATTCAGTTTATTTATATAGCGCCAATTCAGAACACCTGTCATTTTAAGGCACTTTACAGAGAAAATTAAATCAGATCATAAAGTGTAATTTGTTACACTTTATGATTGCATGGGACCCATTGACTCGACAGCAATCCCTCACACTAAGCATGCTTGTAGCGACAGTGGAGAGAAAAAACTCCCTTTTAACAGGAAGAAACCTCCAGCAGAACCGGGCTCAGTGTGAGCGGCCATCTGCTGAGGCCGACTGGGGTTCAAGGAGACAGAAACAGAGATGCAGGGGGAAAAAAAAGAAAATACAGATTTACAAAATGTAAATGTTAAATAGCTCCACAGGCGGCCCCGTCTAGGGAAGACACAGCCAGGCAGACGGGCTCTGAGCCAGCTCCCATGTCGATATTATAAAGAGCAATATTATAAAATACTCAATGCCATTTACAATAAGAAGTCCTGTGATTTTTTTTTTGAGTTGTTTGAAACAACTTGTGTTCTTCTCACAGGACAACCCCCGCCGTGCTCTTCTGGCAGTGGATCAACCAGTCCTTCAATGCAATAGTGAACTACACTAACAGGAGCGGCGACGCTCCAATCACAGTTAGGTAGGAGAGCTTGGAATCAGCAGCACATGGATCAGTCCTGTAGTTTAACCACTCTTATGTGAACTAACTTTTCTGTTACAGTCAGCTGGGCACAGCTTATGTCTCGGCCACCACAGGAGCTGTCGCCACGGCTCTAGGACTAAACGCACTAACAAAGGTACGGCTACATCTAATGTGTCTCCGTTGGAATGAATCTGGTGTTTTTGTTGGATTTTCTGCTGTTTTTTTTCTGCTGATTTTCTGCTGTTTCCTTCCTGTTGCAGCACATCTCACCCCTGATTGGACGTTTCGTTCCATTCGCCGCTGTAGCGGCCGCTAACTGTATCAACATCCCGCTGATGAGACAAAGGTAAGGGACACGGACACTTGATTTGATTACACACCGACGTTCATGCAGTGCTTTGCATGGACCCCTTGGAGAATAAGCTGTAGAAGAGGTGGATCTTTGCCAGCAAATTAGCTTGTTTTTTTGGGATGGTTGGATAAATCTGAATGTTTTTTATTCTATTTTTTTTGCATAGGCCATATTTGGGTTTCGGGTGTGCATATACTTTTAGCATAAATTTTACCCAATCCCTGATCAATGAGACTACCTGCCCCGTGCTTAAAGGAATAGTACACCCAAAACATGATTAGCCTTCATTTTCTACTCACCCCCATGCTGAACAACACTCTGGAGTACTTTTTTGATATCT